GAGGTGAAAAACATTTATTATGTGAAATCCATCGGAGAAAAACAGCTCAACCAATACAAAATATGTCAATGAATCCTCACCATTCATATCATACGGGTTCGGGTTTTTTCCCAAATTACCCGACTAATTATAACCCGCGGCACAGTATTTCCCCACCCGATTCGGATGAACAATTTTTTCAACAACAAAATATCAATTGGTGTGATTCGCCTTCTTCCAACAATAATGCGAGCAACAACAATTTCACCAACATCAACACCAACACCAATACAGTAACCGCGTTGTCGGAGGACAACGACCGGTTACGTAGGAGCAACAATATGTTAATGTCGGAACTTGCACACATGAGGAAACTTTATAACGACATTATTTATTTCGTTCAAAATCATGTCAAACCTGTTACACCTAGCAGTTCGTACAATACTTGTTCACTATTGCCTGCTTCAGCTACACCTATAGTCCAAAAAAATATGAATATGAATATTCATCATCAGTTTGGGTATCAACAAATTACAAACCCTAAAAATGTTGCTATCTCCAACATCAACAACAACAACAACAACAACAACGTCGTATCACCAAGCAAGACATCACAAAGCAGTAGTGTGACGATTCTTGATGAAGGTAATGGTGGTGGTGATAATAGAAGTACAAAATTATTCGGTGTTCCTCTTATGTCTAAGAAAAGAGTTCATCCTGAATATTCATCTTCTTATTATTCTACGACGAATATGGTGGAGACAAATAAGGCAAGATTAATGGTCTTGGAAAAAAATGATCTAGGATTAAATCTCATGCCTCCTTCTTCATCTTAGACTTTATTTTTTTTTCATTGTTATTAGTATTATTATTATTCACCCACACTACCTTATTAAAGTTCAAGTTTTTGTTTCAAAATGTTAGTGGATCATGAAATGTTGTACTTGTGAGTTTTTTTTTTTTTTTTGTCTTTGTGTAAATATAACTTATTTAACCATGAATGCAGGTGGGTTAATTTTTGTTATAATTGGGGAAAAAAAGTTAGTAGTATAATTAGTTTTTTTTTATTTTTTATATGTCACTTATGTTTATGTGTGTTCTAATTCTTCTTCTCCTTTATTTCTGGTTTTGATTTATCTGAAGAAAATTTCAGTTGCATTTATTAATGCACACGAGAGAGAAAGTTATTATAAGGTTAGCTCTGAAATATGCTTTCTTCTTTTTCAGTTTCAACTTATGTTAAAAGCTTATAACAACGTTCAGTCCATTGACAATTTTTTTTTTTCTCTGGGGCTTTCTCTCTGATCAATACATTAATGAATTCTACGTACAAATATAGACACATCTCAAAAAAAAGTGCGTGTAAAATTTTGAAATCAAGAAAAGAGAGACGTTTATATTTGAACTGAGAGTTTATTAGAAATAAGTTTTTTATTTTATCTTTGTTATGATAGTGTAGGATAAGACTGTGTATACATCATTATTTGACAATTGGAAATACATGATTAATTATTTCAAAAATTTAAATTTTGTTTGGTGAATATTTATTAATTAGCACTAAGGATTGTGTAATTATTGAGGTAATAATTATTATCATTATAAGTAAGAAAGTTAAACTATGATCATAATTATTATGATTTATGGCTTCTCTCTGATTATTAAGAATATTGTGGAGCATCTCAATTTCTCGTTTACTGAACTTGCACGGTCAGACACAAAAAAGTGAGTAAAAAAACACAGAGATGAGAACAAAATCATGTACAGAACCTAGCAAAAAGATTAAATAAATAAATAAAAAATTTAAAAATGTTTAGTCATTCGATGATGGTGAAATTATTATTATTTTTTTTTTAAAAAAAGAGACTGGAAAATGTTTTTCTTTTTTGGTTTGTTTGATACGTTTCTATCAAGGCTTCTATACTTCTGAAAGACCAGAGAAGAAAAAATAAACCTATGTCTTTTCCTACTTTAAGCATCTAATTTTGTTGTGTTTGAAACTCTCTATGTGTCCACTTCTTCTTCTAACTTCTTTTATCATTAGTCATTCTTTGGATTTTTGCCTAAGGGAAAGGGGAAGATAGGTTTTTTTATTTGACTGGTGGTTAAGAAAACAAAATATCTTTCTTTTCTATACCTACTTTACTTGTTCCTTTGTGTAACAATCATATACCAAGTAAAGTTTGCTTTTGCTTTTCTACACTACTCTCAATTTTTTCCCTTTTTCACTATTCTTTTTCTCCTAACAACTTAATGTAAATTCAAAGATTTAAATTACTACGTGTTTAGAATAAGTGTGATCTTATTAATAAATCATGTGTTTAGAATACAAAGTTATAGACAGAAGCAGAGTCAAGATTTAAAGTTGAAAGAGGTTTAAGCAAAAGCTATTAGTATTGAGAGAGAATTAAATTTATAAAATTGAGATTTTTTCTTGTTTTACTAATTTAAACTTTTAGGTGAGATCATTGGATTCATTCAAAATCGTAGCTCTGATTACTATATGATCTTATGTATGAATCCATCCCACTAGTGATATTGTTTGTTTTAATTAAACCTAAACCCGCGTGGCTTTAAAATGTGTTACTATGGTCTAAGCCTTGTTTTCTTATATACCCAATACCTTCATCTCTCTTATTTTATCAATGTGGGATTCACCTTGCTATATGTATACTTGCTTTGTAATTTGTTTATTTATTTGTATATCTATATGTATAGTTAAAGTAATGAATTCGTAGATCCACCTTAAGACAAATACTTCGAAAGATAAATGAAAATCAAGGAATAAGAAGATGTAGAAAAAAGAGGTTTCTCAAATCTTGTATAACAAAATAGTGGTAGGAAAGTAAGCTGAGAAAATCTTGGCTCATGCAATTACTAAATTTGGTCTTATAATAAGAGAGAAAAATTTATAATAACCCTAAACCTAGCTATCTAAGTTTGAATGAATGAAGGGTGGGTTCGTTTAGACTTTCCTTCTGTCTTTTTCTAACAAGGAAGTGGCACGTGGTTGGAAGCTGCACGTGTAGTACATAGAATTGGTAGAAGAATATATATATATATAAATATATATATATATACACTTAAAAAAATCGTTTGGTAACTGATTAGAGTTATGCATATATTAGTAATATAGAGATTATGTAGATATTAGTAATATAGAGATTAGTTATAAGGAAATATATGTATTATGTTATGCATGTATTAGTTGTGTAGTATCAGTTATTCCACTTTATATCATGTACTATACAATAATACCTATATATTTCCTCATAATTTATATATGTATTAATTATACGAATTTTTAAATTGCAAATCAAACATCACATTAATTTTATACATAAATAACTTACTTCGTAATCAACTACCAAACATAATATTACTTATGCATGAATTAATTAACACATATATAACTCACCTTCAAACTAGCTACAACGATTAGTCGCCTCAAAGCAAAAGAAAAAGGAAAGATGGTGGAATGGGAATATTTGGGTCTATAGAAAAAAGTGAAATACGGATCATCCGGTTTAAAGATACTTTAATCGATTGTTGGTGTGTTGCTTAACAGCCGTATTGGACCATGACACAATTTTTGAAATTAGTGAAAAGCAAAAAAAAAAGTTTATAATTTTTTTCCTATAAATATTTGCATTATTATTAATAAAGTGAATGTAAAGATTGGAATTTTCTATGTCGAGTCTTTTTAGTGTACACTTTATTGACATTTTCCTTCGAAAATACTACCTTTATTGACGATTTAATAAACTTTGAATATATAGTACTTGTACTAAATACTACTAATTAAATTACATGTATATATTGTAAAGTTTTTAGAAGAATCTTTTTTCTCTACTTTAAACGAGTAGAAGGTTTGAAACTTTTTCTGTTTCTACAATTTTCGAAACGTGCAATCATGGAGAAACTAATTGTTTCCTAGATATTTGTAAGTGCTAATTAATTAATTAATTAATATAATTATTACTACTTTGAAGACAATGGAATATAAATTCAAAAAACACTGGCCCTATTAGAAGAATCCATGTTGATTTCATATGGGATTTTAGTGTCTTAATCAGTTATAAACCAATTGATTGTTTTTATTTGACTTTTCCATATTATGGGGGGCATGTTTTTAATTACTTATTTGACTAGTAGAGTGAAAATTAATCCAAAACACAATTAATAGTGCACTTTCTAAAGAGCGCTTTACTACTCAAATTATTCTTTGAATCAATTCCGCATGATCTGCTTTAAATTAAAATTGTTAAACTTAAATATGTCACAAGCAGTATATGTCCTCATTAATTGAAACCAAATACATTATTTTTCCACCAATTTTCTAAAACATGTTGCATCAACAAAGACTAGTACCATTTTTAGTCAAACTTCAAATTCTCTTAAACATGGGTGATAATTGATTTTGTTTTACACATGTTAAATTTCTTCAAAATAGTTTTTTATGCATGTATAGTTAATAAGGTGATAAAGTAATTTCATCAACAAGCAATTTGTCATATTTCTCAAATTGAAGGAATACAAATGCCCCCCAAAGATCATAATTAACGCACAAGTGAAATATTCAATAATGATTATATAGAAGAAATATATCAAATTAAAGAAATAGTATCTTTTTAATTTAGAAGTCCACGACAATATCCTTGATTTCAAACTTATAAAAGTGAAATTCAAGGACAATGTTACGAAGCTGAAACTTATAAAAGTAGCCGTTCAAAATATAGTAATTTTTTTTTACATGTGTTAACTAATTGTTCTTTTATTTTCATACTAAGAAGTGATTAAATAGTAGGTAAATGTTGATTAGTGGTCTAAAAAGTGGTACATATCTATTTGAACTGTTAATGGGCTTTTTGGGCCGAACTGTTAGGGGGAATTGCAATATTAATGGGCCTTCTGGGCCGAGCTGTTATAGGGAAATGCAATGATAATGGGCTTTTTTGGGCCAAACTTGCCCAGCCCAAATATCAATAGACCCTGAAGTAACCAACGTTCTTCAAACAATTTCAAACTCGCGCAAAAACTCAAACTATTCCGGCAGTGAGTGCTTCTTGCAAAACCTACTAAATGACGGAGCCGGAATTGGTAATCGCTTCATCGCCGACCGACGCCGGTATTGGATGTTGGGACCTCCATACCGGCGCTGAGCACCTCCGTTATCGAACTTGCTCCTCCCCTTCCCACGGCCTTACCTGTGTCGGCGGCCGCTTTCTCGCCTCTTCTCAACTCCGTGAAACTAAATCTTCCTCAGGCTCTATCCTTTACTGGTCCTGGAACAAGGTAAATAACAAAAAATTCACTTGTATTATGTTTAGCTTTGTTAATTCACACTTTTGTAGTATGTAGTTAAGCTGTTTGATTGATTGCCTATTAGAAAGCTTAGCTTTGTTAGAACTGTTATGTATACATGTAGTGCTGCAATTATTGATATTTTATTAATTACATTTCTGTAGCCTCAAGTGGAAGTTAAAAGCTTCCCAGCGGAACCTATAAATCCACTTGTTTCCAACAGTGAGGGAACTTATATAGCCGGAGGAGGTGCATCCGGCGAAATTTACTTGTGGCAGGTTTATACCAAGTCATTTTGTCTTTTTAGTTGCTCATTGTATTTGGCAGTCCGATTAAATTAAATGTTATATGTTTTGTTTTTATTTATAGGTTGCTACTGGTAAACTACTTAAGAAGTGGCATGCTCACTATAGGGCGGTTACTTGCTTGTTATTCAATGATGATCAATCACTTCTGATTTCTGGTTCAGAGGATGGATCAGTTCGAGTTTGGTCTCTTATAATGTATATTTGCTTCACATGTTTTTGTATTTGTCTAGCTTTTGTTTGATGATCTGAGGGCTAATATCCGGAACTTGGTTGACATTAGGGTATTTGATGACTTGTTGAGAGGGAAAGCAAGACAACCTTATGAGTTTAGTTTCTCAGAGCATTCTTTGAAGGTGACTGATGTTGTGATTGGGTACGGCGGAGCTAATGCAATTATTGTTTCTGCTTCAGAAGATAGAACTTGCAAGGTTTGCCTTGTATTTTACGGTTAAGTAATTGTTCATGCTTTTTGGTAAATTTGTAGAACAAACTGCTAATGAACTTGACTACTATGTTTGTTGTCAATCATAAAGAATTAAGTCAAGTGACTCTATGGCAATTCGTTCATTTTTCTAATGGTTTCAGACTGTTGTTTGCTCAATGTCGTAGTGATTATAAATAATTAGTGATGCCAGTTATACCTTTGCCTAGTTATACCTTTGCCTGATGCTCAATATTCTTAGTTGTCCATTTTTCATAGGTTTGGAGTCTTTCTAGGGGAAAATTGTTGAGAAACATTGTGTTTCCATCAATAATTGACGCAATTGCATTAGACCCCGGAGAAGATGTCTTCTATGCTGGTGGTAGAGATGGGAAAATATACATAGCTGCACTAAATGCTGTTGCAGACCCCAATAATAATTATGGATTGCACATTCTTGGGTTTCTCTCTGAGCAAAGGTTTGCAATATCTATGATTTGTTATATAGATAGTTGTGTGCTCTCACTAATGAGAACGTTTGCGTTTTGTAAACCCTAACATTTTTTCCTTTTTGTTTTATATTTAAGATGTTCGGTATAGCTTCCCTGTAACTTCTTATGTTTCATTAGTACCTCTATATGGTTCTTTCTGTCCTGTGGAATACATGAAATCATCATATGGGTCTGCTTAATTTTTGTTGGCATCACTTATAGCTTCATGTTGAAGTGTCAAGCATGAAAGGTTGTTGCTTGGAATCTCCATATTATTCTTCAATGTTGTAACTCAAGAGCCATTTAGTAGGAATCTAATAGTTTAGGCATGTAGTATGGAGTTTACGTTCTGGCTAATGCATGGTTGCAATTGTGACTAGGGCATTACTCTCAATATGTTGATGGAGTTAAAATAGTTTCATGATGTTCTTTATGGGCTATGGCTAAATATTCCCTGTAACTTTTCAGCTGTATGAGGACATGCCTGTATGAACTTCTGTGGCAGGAGTTACCTTATTTCCTGCAGACACATGCTAATTTTTGTCTCCCCTCCCTTATCTGTTTTTCATTTTCCTTGAATAATTTTACAATGATTCATGAAACAGCAAGGCTATTACATGCTTAGCATTAAGCACGGATGGCAGCTTGCTAATTTCTGGATCAGAGGATGGCATGGTTCGAGTGTGGAACACCAAAAACCATAACATCACCCGAATTTTTAGGCATGCAAAAGGTACGGTTGATATCCTGAGTACTTCTTCAAATGACTCGTTGATATCCTGAGTACTTCTTCGAATGACTCGTTGCTACCATATTAATACAGTTTGCTCCTTGAAATTCTTGAAACATTGTTAGTCGTGCATAAGAAATCTGTTTGTTAAATGTAAAGTTTATTTATTTGCATTACTTCTAAAAGTTCAAGTAAGGTTTGTCTAAGCCTCTAAGTGATTCCATAGTGGTATGGAAGATTGTTATCCAAAGCATCGTTAAGAGTTCTGTCTTCTAGGGTTGTGGACTTGAAAAGATAAATCACTTATTGTCTCCAACGGACGATTAAGGCTTGAAAAACGGTGTCTTCCCTCTTGAAATCATCCTAATGTCTTGCAACAGTTAATAAGTGCAGAAAGAATAAGATTAAAGCTATTTCGACTAGGACACTAGGTAGTATCGGCATATGATAAATCTGATGATTCTGTGAGCATTATGATTCATTAACTTGGAAAAAAGAAAAATAGAAGAGGCTGAAACTCGATATAAATAATGTCTCTTTGTGTTAACTTTTTACAGGTCCAATTAACAATGTTGTAGTTGTTAGACAATCATCTCTTATGAGTAACCGAGGAACCGTGAATTCTCAAATGCCTTCCGTTAAGAGACACGGGGTATCATTACCTCCACCATTGGAAAAGTGTGCTAATTCAGCAGATGAAAATGACTATAAGGCAGTAATTGGCCCCCGGATCGATCCTGATAGATCTGTTGAAACTTCATATATCAGTATTCAGTCCCTAAGTAATCAAATCTTAGAACTTCAGGTTAGATTTTCTTTGGTTATTGATCTGTTGCCTGTTTTTGTTCCTTCAACTCCCTCTCACTATAATTGTGTGTTTGACATCCTCAAATGTCTTTGCTTATAAATTTGACATTTACAGCTGTAAATTCTTATTCACTGCTTCCCAATTTAATGGTCTTAGTTTGACTTGGCATGACTATTTATGTGAAGAAAGGAAAATTGGTAGATCTTTTAAGGAGTAGAGTAAAATTGGTAGATCTTTTTTGTATTATAGATGTGTCAAACATCTTATTGGAATTAGACCCAATTTTGGGACGGTAGAAAAGGATCAAAAGGCTCTTTTCTGGGGAAGAGGGAGTACTTTACTCGTCATGTCTTTCTAATGGGGAATAGATACTTTCCATATGAGGATTTAGCTTTATGTCAATAGACACCAAACTCTATTCAATTTTTCTTTACTTCTTGATTTATCCTTTGAGATCAGTTGATATGATTCGGGATGCATGCAAAATAATTAAAAATAAATTGATTAATGAAAATCACTGGATAGGAATTCCAACCGTAATTGCAGAACAAAAAGAATCTCAGGCAACAATTGGGGTGAAACAAATGTTTATGCATTTATGGACGGACGAGACCTTCAAGGAGATCGGTGAGCTCTGTGGTGGATGGTTGTTGACGGAGGAGGAGACAGAACTGAGAAGCCATCTTAAATGGGCAAGGATCGAAATACGAGGTGATGGTCGGAGCATTCCAAGTGAAGTCTCTATTTCTAGAGATGGAACTAAATTCATAATTCCGATCTGGGCAGAGAGGAAAACCCTATTTGAATCCCCGCCGGAAAGCAACAGAACAACCACTGGAGAAGATCAACTGAAGATACAACGGATAATAGATCTCCAACCATCTATATCCGAGAAAGCAGAAGTACAGGTTGTCGATGTTGATGTAACAGAGGGAAATCACGTGGAGGCAGCTGTCCAAATTTTTAAAAAACCTAAAGTAGCACGTGGACAGTAGGTCAACTGGGCCGGATCAGGCGACAATTATTTTTAATAACTTCAGCCCACAGCCCAATTCTGACCTTCAAGAGGTGGTGATTGATGAATCTCTGGAAAATTACTCCAGTCGCGATGGAACTGGAAGGAAAACACCAAATCTACAGAATCTCGATGGGACCCAGCCAAGAGAAGAAGGATTTGAAGAAGGAAAAGCAGCGGAAATCTCCTGTTTACCCATTAACAAAGTAAATGCATGCATCATATTGGGGGAAACCATTGCAAACGAAAACGAGTCACAACAAAAACATCTGGAGATGTTTAATTCTGGAGAAATTTGGGATGTACAGGAGATTGAACCACTACGTACCCACTACGTACCCAAGTGCTAACTGATTTAGAATGGAGGGCAACAACATGGGTACAACAAAATCTTCTTAAACTTCACAAGATGTTTGGAGTAGATTTTTAGGGGCTTGAAGAAGAAGCACTTGAGTTGCTTAAGCAGGTTGATGCAAGCAGACATGCCAGAAGAATGGAGCAAACAATAGAAGTTAAAAGAGCAAAGCATAAGGGAGCACAAGATGTCAAATTCAAAAGCAATGGTGATAGAGGGAAGGGGAAGGGGAAATCACATAATACTCCATGAAGATAAAATTAATCCCATGGAATGTTAGGGGGCTGAATGAACAGGGAAAGAGAAGGGTGGTACAAAACCTGTTGCAGGACTGGAAAGTAGACATTGTCTGCCTCCAGGAAACTAAATTAGAAGGCGATGTTCGGGACTTAGTTAAACAAATTTGGGCAGGGAGATGGATTAAATATGCTTGTTTAGAGGCCAGTGGAACCAGAGGAGGAATCCTAATGTTATGGGATTCCAGAATATGGGAAGGGGAAATTATGCAAGTTGGAGCCTATACTCTCTCTTGTAAATTCAAAGCTCAGACAAGCAATTTTGAATGTCATATAACCGGAGTGTATGCTCCGAATAGTAAAGTGGAGAGGAGGTTTGTATGGGAAGAACTGGCTGATATAAGAGGCTTGATGGATGGTCCATGGGCTGTTTGCGGTGACTTTAATGTCTGTAGGTTTCCTTCTGAAAAAAAGGAATGCAACAGGTTAAACTCAGCAATGAGAGAGTTCTCAGAATGTATTGAAGACATGGACCTTATTGATCTGCAATTAAGTGGTGGAAGGTATACCTGGTACAAGGGTGATAACCATATCACAACATTCAGGATAGACAGGATTATGGTCTCCACAGAATGGAATAATCTTTTCACCAACATAAAGCAAACTACTATGCAAAGAGTGACTTTTGATCATGTTCATATTGCCTTGTTGTGTGGACATTGGGAACAATCTAAATCCTATTTTAAGTTCGAAAATTGGTGGCTGAACCAAGAAGGATTTGTTGAAAGAATCAAGGTCTGGTGGAATAATTTTGAGTTCTATGGGAAGCCAGATTACATCTTAGCATGCAAACTTAAAGCCCTCAAAGGGAAATTGAAAGAATGGAGCAGAAATGAACCAGGTAATCTGAAATTGCAAAAGAACAACCTTATCAATCAGATGGCTGAGTTAGAATCACATCAGAGCAACAAAGTTTTAACTGAGGAGGAGATAAAAAAAAAAGCCACACTTTTCATGGAGTATGAGGGGTGTTTGAAGAATGAGGAAGTGGCCTGGAGACAGAGATCAAGGGCATTGTGGCTCAAGGAAGGGGATAGGAATACAAAGTTTTTCCACCAAACAGCTAATGCCCACAAGAGATACAACCATATTGATCAACTGGAAGTGCATGGAGAGACTATAATAGAGCCAAACAGAATTAAGGAAGAAATTATTTCTTTCTACAAAAAGATGTATATAGAACCTGAAGGTTGGAGACCTCTGTAAATATCAGCAACCATCCTACCATTACAGAGGGTGAAAATGAAGCATTGCAGGTAGATTTTGAGGAACAAGAAGTACTTGAGTGTTTAAAAATGTGTGCCATAGACAAAGCCCCTGGTCCTGATGGGATACACAATGGGGTTCTTTCTAAAATGTTGGGAGATCATTAAACATAACATTATGGGGGCTTTCCACAATTTTCACTCAACTGGGATGTTTGAAAAGAGCTATAATGCAACCTACATAGTGCTGATTCCTAAGAAGATAGGAGCAAAGGAACTCAAGGACTTCAGACCCAACAACTTAATTGGAAGCTTCTATAAGCTAATTTCCAAGGTTTTGACAGAAAGGTTGAAGAGAGTTGTGGATAAGTTGGTAGACAAACAACAGATGGCTTTTATCAGAGGCAGACAAATAATGGATGCAGTGCTTATAGCTAATGAAGCAATTGATTCTAGAGTGTCCCTGAAGAAACCTGGTATACTATGCAAACTTGATATTGATAAAGCATATGACCATGTGAATTGGGATTTCATTCTAAGTATGCTGAGACAAATGGGATTTGGTAGCAGATGGATCAGTTGGATCAAGTTTTGTATTTCAACTGTTAAGTTTTCAGCACTCATCAATGGGTCTCCTGAAGGCTTTTTCAGTGCACACAGAGGAATCAGGCAAGGGGATCCCTTATCACCCTTCCTGTTCATCATAGCTATGGAGGGGCTTAACAACATGTTGAAGATAGTCAAGACAACAGGAAGAATACAAGGATTTTAAGTCAGTAAGGTTGCTGGGAATAGTATGGAGATCACACACCTACAGTATGCCGATGATACACTAATTTTTTATGGGGCTGAGGAGGAGCAATTGCTGATTTTGAGACTTATACTAGTCTACTTTGAAGCCATATCTGGACTACATATAAACTGGAACAAAATCCATTTGTATCCAATTAATGTGGTTCCGAATATGGAACACCTCTCACAAACCTTGGGAGGAGTGACATGTACTCTGCCATCAGTATACTTGGGCATGCCTTTGGGGGCAAAGTCTGGAGCCATAAACATTTGGAACCCAATAATGGAGAAATGTGAAAAGAAACTAGCCAGATGGAGATCACAGTACCTCTCCTTGGGAGGTAGATTAACTCTGATAAACTCTGTTCTGGATGCTCTCCCTACATATATGCTATCTATCTTCCATATTCCCCGGTCAGTAGTTCAGAGTTTGGACAAAATTAGAAGAAACTTCTTGTGGCAAGGAAATAAGGAGAGAAAAGGCTTTAACTTAGTCAAGTGGAAGAACATAATCAGAAGTAAGATGCAAGGTGGATTAGGTATCAAGAATCTCAAAAACCATAGCAAAGCTCTGAAGGTGAAATGGTTATGGAGGTACCATCAGGAGGACCAAGCTCTATGGTATAGGGTGATCAACAACAAGTATGAGGAGCTAAATAAATGGGTAACCAAAGAGGTAAATACCCCCTATGGGATTAGCCTTTGGAAATCCATCAGAATATTTTGGCCTTTTCTCAGTAATCAGTCAACTGTCAAGGTACAGAATGGCAGAAAAACCAGTTTTTGGTTTGATAAATGGTTGGGTGGTATGAGCCTCAAAGATTGTTTTCCTAACATCTTTACATTGGCTCAACACCAACAGGGGACTGTCGCTGAAATGTGGACACAACAAGGCTAGGATTTGATCCTCGGAAGAAATCTGAATGACTGGGAAATTCCCAGAATACTTGAATTGTTTAAGGTTCTAGAGAATATTCAAGGTATACAAACAGGTGAGGATTATTTATGGTGGCAGGGACACAACAAAGGTAGTTACAAGGTGAAAGAAGGATACAAACAGATAAGTCCTGGTGACATTCAAGACTTCAAATGGCCTTGGAAGCAAATCTGGAGGATCAAAGTGCCACACAAAGTGGCATGCTTTACATGGCTACTAGCCAATGAAGCAGTTTTGACATTGGATAATGTGGCCAAGAGAGGAATCTCTCTATGCAACAGATGCTCCTTATGTGGTAAGGCTAATGAGACAGTGAGACATCTCTTCTTACATTGCAACTTTACTGAGCAGCTGTGGTAGATTTTCCTTAATCTCAGAGGAATATCTTGGTGTATGCCTAGCAAGATTGATGACACTCTATTTAGTTGGGAGATGGTTGGAGTTGGGGCTACCAACAGAGAAAGATGGAGGATGATCCCTGCTAGTATTTGGTGGACTATATGGAGGGAGAGAAACGAGAGATGTTTTGAGAATAGAAACAATAACTTGCAGGAAGTAAAGCTTAAGTTTGTTGTTCTGCTTTTGGTGTACAAATGTCTACTCCAATGAAACTGAGTCAATCATAGATGTTTTAGGATCCATTTAGATTTGGTTCAGTTTTTGGATAGATTATACTTTCTTTCTGCTTTTGTAAATATGGGTTTTCAGTACTACCCAAGTACTAAATGAAATACAAATGTTACCAGTTTCAAAAAAATGTTTATCAATCTTAAAGTATGCAAAAACTTCTCTAAAAATGAGCTCTAACTGCATTTATACATAACAAGAAAACTCAATAGGACATATTGTCCCTAAAATCTCTTTTGAGTTTCGACACGTCAGAAATCAGAACTCAGATCAATGATCTGGATGCTCCAGCAAACAGCCTCTCCTCTACCACTCCCACATCAATGACTCGAAACCAGATAACTGATCTAGAGCCTATCCTCTGTCAACCTCCGATCAACCACTTTATTTGGAAACAGATCATTTTTTCATGTTTTAACCAATTCTTAAATATCATGTTACTCCTTAAAGGTGCAATCCGTAGATGCTGCTGAATTGTCCACCAGGCATCTCATAGTTGTCTGCAATTGACCCCATACTATCCAGGATTATATCTACCAATTTAGTTGCTCTGCAGAAATAATGTCGCGGAACTCTTAATGTGCTGCACTGCTTTCTTGAACTACTTTTCATGGAAGAATGTTTTAGCCTCTAGGAAATGTCTATTTAAAAATTGTGTGTTCTATATTTTTACATTAGTATTGTACTTGACTCACCCTCAATTGCTGCTTTAAAAGTTAATCCCATTGCAATAGATAATGTCGTGTGATTGCCTAAAAAAGTTATCATCTATTTCAATTAACAGCTAGTCTTTCCTGCATACAGAGACAAGGGTCTTCTGCTGCTGCTGAAATGGAGATCGAAAGGCTAAAACTCGACCGCAGCAGGTCCATGCAAATGATTCAGCAGTGGGAAACAAAGTTTCAAAGTCTACATCAGTTTTGTGTAACCGAGCTATTGGATGGGGAAAAAGCTGGAAATGCTTAGGGACACAGTCTTATAACATATTTTTCTAAAACACGGTGAGCAGAAAGACGAAAGGGGAAAGCTAGATTTTAAACTTCCGCCTACATGATGGCTTGTGATGGTGCTCACCAAGTTAGCTAGCTCTCAACTCCAGTTTTCCATACCGATTCCTACCTGCAACAGCTAATATTTTTTCACGTAACGATTCAGCTGCGATCAGTCGATTTAAACTATTGGTTAACATTTGGATTCAGTCGATTCCGCAAACAAACAGATTACATTTTACATTTGATTATGTATCTTAATGTAAGATCTTGAACTATTTCACTAGCTGCTATGGGATATAATCTTAATGCTTGTCAAATATTATTTTGTTCTCTTTTACATGCTAGAGAATTCAAAGTGTAAAAGGTTGTGTTCATATTGTGAAGATGACCTTTGCAACAAACAAACGTGACGACGAAAATAAGCCAATAGCAGTAATTTTTGAAAATCCAATATGTTGAATAGATGGGAAAAGTTGGACAAGACAAATTGAAATTACAAGAACAAAAGAGTTGAAACGATTGGCTTAGTGGTCCCCTTCTGATAAACCTCGAAGACACTCAACTCTAGCAAGATAAAATCATTTTCATGATCACACTATTGCTCAATTGGATGCTTTATTTATGTGAAAACAAACAAATCAGTGAAATCTTATAATTAATGAGCTTTCAATCTAATTATAATCAACCCCTCTTTGTCCTACTATTACATTCCTCACAATTATTGGAACTTCTCGTTAGATACGGATTCAGAATTTGAATTCGAAGTTTGTGATTCAGATGCAAATTCAGAATTTGAATTTGAAGTTTGTGAGTTTCCACTATCAATTGTGATGGAACCAACATTCTCACGGAGAAAGTTCAAAATATGAAGAAATAAACACAGATATAAGTCCACTTGACTCGCCCCTATATACATCAACCTCAACTTAATCGTAATGTACTATAATGATAACTGGATTCACATTTAAATATCTATAAAAATTTAGATATATATATAAAGGACAAAAGTTAATGAATCCACGTGAATTATAAGCGAGTCTCTAGTCTCTAGATGTGCCCTTGCGATCCGTACACTGCATGAATATAAAAGGGAATTGGAAAAGCGCGTGCATGGATCTAAAATGGAAATGAAAAGCTACAAGTTTTGGCTCAAGTGTTTTCCATACAGAGAAAATAATGTAATTGATGACATGTTCAAAGCCTGCACCCTCAGCTCCAAACAGAAGATGATTTACCAATAAGAAAAATAGTGAAGTAAAAAAGGAATTGAATTCCTGCACTTAATTTTCCTTCCCTAGAAAAGTGGTAGTAGAAACATTGTGAAAATGAGAGCACAAAGGGATTGGAACCAAACAATTGGCATATCATGCTTTTTCTCACTCTTTGATTGCGCAATTTGGCAGTCCAACAATCCTCTTCCCAACTTGTAAAGATGAAAATCATGTCGAAAAGATATCAAAAAACAAAAGTTGGACCACTTCTCATTTCTGATTGCTTTAGGTTTTATTTCTTTTTCTAGATTGCTTTGGACTATTATTAACTTTTTTTTAGCCGATGGTCTCTATCGAAAACAAGATAGATATAAATCTACGTACGTAGACTTTATTCTCAGTAATCCTACTTTGTTGTAGGATTACACCAGATATGTTTTTATTATTGTAGTGTTAGAGTGGGTAAGAGTCTCACGTACATTGGTTGGGGGATGGATTGATGGTCTGCTTCTATAGACTTGAGCGGACCTCTCCTTATGAGTTAGTTTTTGCGGGTTGAGTTAAGCTCAGGTGCCATATTTTTACATGGTATTAGAAAAAGGTCCATCCGGTTTGGACTCCCAGTCCAAGCTCCAGTTGAGCGTGGGTGTGAAGAGAGGTATTAGAGTGGGAAAAAGTCCCACATTGATTGGGGATTGGATTGGTGGTCTATGAAAATGGTCAAGTAAAAACTCTTTCATTCTTAATTAGATGTCTCAAATTCGAGCCCTAAATATGAAGTTGTGTTTATTAAGAAGCACTTTTACTTCCAATATTAAACTTTTCGACGCATGAATATGTATTTAGTCCGTCTTTAATATAGATATAGACAATGAAATCTTAACCCTTTTTTTTTTGTAAAAAAGAATTCTTCAGAGCACTTGATCTGCAAGTCCCAATGAGAAAGAAAAAGAAATTTGGAAATATTATTTAAATATAAAGCAAGAATATAAAAATAGGAATAAGGGAACAAAAGATAAGGTGATGCAACGGTGATAATACAAAGTAAAAAAATTCATCCCCACCCAACAACAAATTCTGCCTATTTTTTGGCTTCTTTTTATCCAATCGAACCCCTTCTTGCAGAGAACATGTCTCTTTTTTTTTCTTCTATAAAATATAATATCTTATTCTATCCATTTTTAATGCTTCAAAAGAAACTAATTGATTTTTTTTTAAAAAAAAAGAGGTCCCCCACCCCCCACCCACCCCACC